TGGGACATCGGAGTCACAGTGTCATTCAGGGGCATGAATATTTCACCCGCGAGAGCAAGGTAATTCTCACAGGAGAGGGGTGAAATGCACAATACACCACACTTGCAACTGGCCCACGTTTATTTAACAATTCCTGCAACAGTTCACTGCTCCATGGGAACTTCCTGGGATCTAATTTACTCTAATTTAATAGTGTCGGGTCAAGATCTCAGACCAGGGGTGGGCAATTGTGATTAATGGGGGGCCACTCCAGAGCAAGGTAATTCTCACAGGAGAGGGGTGAAATGCACAATACACCACACTTGCAACTGGCCCACGTTTATTTAACAATTCCTGCAACAGTTCACTGCTCCATGGGAACTTCCTGGGATCTAATTTACTCTAATTTAATAGTGTCGGGTCAAGATCTCAGACCAGGGGTGGGCAATTGTGATTAATGGGGGGCCACTCCAAGATTTTGGCAAGTGGTCACAGGCTGCAATTCTACCAAGGGGATGTGGGGCTTGGGATGAGGTTTGGAGCAGAAGGGAGCTTGGGGTAGGGACCTGGGGTGCAGCAGGGGGTGTGGAGTTTTAGAGTGAGTTTGGGTGAAGATGAGGGCTGTGATCTGGGACAGAGGTTTGGAGTGCAGAGTCCGGGGGGGAGTATGGGTGCAGGAGAGTATTCTAGCCCGAGGGAGGGGCTCTAGACAGGGGTGCAGGGTCGGAGAGGGAGTTGTGAGCTGGGTGAAGGGGGTAAAGAGTGTTTGGGTGATGGCTTGGGGCAGAGGGATGGGGTGCAGGGTCAGGGAGGGGGCATGGGTTGCCAGAGAGGATTCTGGCCTGCGGGAAGGGTGCAGGAGGTGGTGCAGGTTCTGGGAGGGAGCTGTGACCTGAGGGATAGGGGTACAGAGAGTTTGGGTGGTGATCTGGGGCAGGTAGATGGGGGAGGAGGGGTTGGGGTGCCAGAGGCAGGCTCTGGCTGGGAGGCGAAGAAGCCTTATTGAAGGCACAGAAAGAAACCATCCCGACGCGTTGCTCCTGGCAGGAGCATGGTAGGAGACCGGATTGGCTTACAGGGGAAATCCTTGGTGAACTTAAGCACAAAAAGGAAGCTTACAAAAAGTGGAAACTTGGACAAATGACCAGGGAGGGGTTTAAATGTATAGCTCGACAGTGCTGGCGGGTATCAGGAAGGTGAAACGGCAAATGGAATTGCGACTGGCTAAGGATGTGAAGGATAACAAGAAAGGTTTCTACAGGCATGTTAACAAGAAGAAGATGATCAAAGGGGGTGTGGGGCCCCTAATGGATGAAGGAGGTAACCTAGTGACAGATGATGTGGGGAAAGCTGAAGTACTCTATGCTTTCTTTGCCTCTGTATTCATGGACAAGGTCGGCTCCTGGACTTCTGCGTTAAGTGACGCAAGATGGGATGAAGATGGACAGCCCGTGGTGGGTAAAGAACAGGTTAGGAACTATTTAGAAAAGCTAAACGTACATAAATCCATGGGTCCGGACTTA